AGATGGAACAGAAAGTGGTGGGCCAGGATAAAGCTGTGGGAACTCTAGTCTTGGCCTAGATGCAGGCACTGAAGGTTAGGAGGTTGTTCCAGGATTGTAATAGGGACAAAGAAAGTGCTTCAGGCTAAACAAAGAACCTGAGCCAGACTTAATACAGACTTACTACTTAAATCTAAAATAAGCAGTTTGTCCCCTCAGCTAGCTAAAACAGGGAGAAATTGCATTAAAATGCTGCCTACAAATGCCTGTGGTCATGACTTTTTGCAACCTGCAGACCAAAGGAGAGAAGTGGATACAGATGCTGTCTTGAGAAAATGAACAATAAGTCTCTTAGACATGAGCTGTAATATTCACAGTACTACTGCTGCACACCATTAAAAGACCTACTTATGGCCTAGGACCTGCAATAAAAACAATTTCAAAACCATAAGAGACAAAACCCTCAACCCAGGAGGGAGAGGGAGAGAAAGTAGAAGAGAGAGAGCAATTAAGAAACTCTTCCACTCAAAATAAATCTACAAACCACAATGTTGAAGCATTGTCTTCTGGAGTTATTGTTGTTATTGAGATATTCCAACAAATTGTCATTATCTTTAAGGTATCTCTGTTTTCTGTCTGATGGCTTTTAAAAAATTTCTCTCATCCTTGCTATATGTCTAAGTGTTGATTTTTTATTTTTATTTTTTGTTTGGAGTACATTCTCAGTAACATAATTTATTTCATGGGGCACCTGGGTAGCTCAGTTGGTTAAGCATGCAGTCTTGGTTTCAGCTCAGGTCATGACCTCAGGGTCCTGGGATGGATCCCTCTGGTAAGCTCCATGCCCAGCAGGGAGTCTGCTAGAGGATTCTCTCTCTCCCTCTCCCTCTGTACCTCCCCCCAACCCCCGTGCACATGTGCTTTCTCTCTCTCTCACAAATAAATAAATCTTTTTAGAAAGTAACATCAGCTATTTCAATTCTGGATTTTCTCAGCTCCTGTTAATTTAAAATTTTGTTTTTATGCACATATAGATGAGCTAAGTTTACCTATTAAAATACAGAGATTACCAAGTTGGATGATTTTTTAAATCCGTCTGTATTCTGCCGACAAGATACATGCTTAAAACAAAATTACACTGAAATAGGGAAAATAAAAATATATATGTAAACACACAAAAGAAAGCAGTCATGTCAATTTTAATATAACAGCAAAGTAGTGTTTAAGACAACAAACATTAATGGTGATTTTTTTTTTTAATGAACTGATCATGGTTACAAAAAAAAGACAAACAAAACGATATAAAAAAATATAAGCTCCCATCACCGAACAATATAGCTTTGAAAATAATACCAGGAGACTTAAACTTAATTCCATAAGAAATACTATACCCCACAGCCCAGAATTACTAAGCATACAGAAAATTTGAACAACAGAATCTATAAGCTTGATCTAATAAATCTGTACAGAATCCTATGCACAACGAATACAGAATAGCCATTCTTTACATGACTATATGGAATCTACAGCAATTTACTACATAGTCATCACAAAAATAAAAGGAGCAAATTTCAAAGTACCAATAATCTACATGCCTTATAACATGTACTTAATTCACAAAGCTGGGGTGGGGAAAATAGGGAGAGGTAGGTAAAAGGGTACAAACTTTCAGCTGTAAGGTGAATAAGGCCTGGGGTGCCTGGGTGGCTCAGTCGTTAAGCTTCTGCCTTTGGCTCAGGTCATGATCCCAGGGTCCTAGGATTGAGTCCCACATCGGGCTCCCTGCTCGGTGAACCTGCTTCTCCCTCTCCCTCTGTCTGCCTGTCTGCCTGCTTGTGATCTCTCTCTCTGTCAAATAAATAAAGAAGATCTTTAGAAAAAAAAAAATAAGGCCTGAGTATCCACTGTATAACATAGAGACTACAGTTGATAATACTGTATTGTGTTGTATAATAGAAATTTCTTCAGAGAGAACTTAAATGTTCTCACACATACAAAGAAGTAAATATTTGAAGTGATGGGTGTGTTAATTAAATCAATAGGGGGAATCCTTTCACATATATGATATCATTACATTGTACACTTTAAATATCTTACAGTTTTATTTATTAATTATACCTCAATAAAGCTGAAAAAATTACAAAGCAAACACTTAAAAATAGTAAAAGGAAACAAAAAAAAGTTTGGACACTTAAATCTGTACCCCTAAATTACTCTTGGATTTAAAAAAAATCACAATGGAAATAAGAACTATTTAGAAAGGAACAAAAATTAAAATATTATTTAAAACTCTGGAATACAGGGACACCTCGCTGGCTCAATCATCTGAACATGCAACTCTTGATCTCAGGGTCACGAGTTCGAGCCCCATGTTGGATGTGGAGCCTACTTAAAATAAAATAGAATAAAATAAAATAAAATAAAATTGTGAAATACAGCTAAAAGAGTAGCTAGGGGTAAATTTATAGTCAAATAAAATAACTAAAAGCAAAACTAATTATTATTATTTTTTTAAGATTTTATTTATTTATTAGAGAGAGAGAGAGAGAGAGAGCATGAGAGGGGGGAGGGTCAGAGGGAGAAGCAGACTCCCCGCTCAGCAGGGAGCCCGATGTGGTACTCGATCCCGGGACTCCAGGATCATGACCTGAGCCGAAGGCAGTCGCTTAACCAACTGACCCACCCAGGCGCCCGCAAAACTAATTATTTAAAATAAGTGAATTTAGCAAGACACTCAAGAAGCAAGGCAAACAAAAACCATTGTATCAGCATAAACTTTAAGAAAATAATAGGAAAAATAACAAAGCTAAGAGTATAAATTATTAATATACAAACAAGGAAGAATTCTGATGATGAAGCAATTAAAAGCAGACAATAAAAGTCATACTGAGACCAGTGGGGAGAAATGAAAATTTTGTCAAGTCCAATGCTAGGACTAATATAGAGTAGGCAGATGGCATGACTAAAATTCTTTTTAAAGATTCTACAAGAAAACCCCAAATTCTGATTAAAAACAAAGACTTAGACAAGGAGAAAGAAAACAACTGGGTGGCTCAGTCAGTTGGGCAGCTGCCTTCGGCCCGGGTCGTGATCCCAGGGTCCTGGGATCGAGTCCCACATCGGGCTCCTTGCTCAGCGGGGAGCCTGCTTCTCCCTCTCTCTCCCTCTGCTTGTGCTCTCTCTGTCAAATAAATAAAATCTTAAAAAAAAACAACTTAATTCAAAGCAGGAAGCATGAGTAGGAAATAAGATATATTGTCAAAGACAACAGATAAGTCTTTAAAGAGCTGCAGTAAGGGATGTTGAACAGTTATTTAATGAGACTTGAAAGCATCAAAATGATGTTGATGAAAAGATTTTTAAAATCTAAAAAAGTAGAGGCCCTACTAGAAAACAAGGTGAGTTGATACCACTTGTTTCCAATTTTTTCCATTCTCAGAGGAATGGATAAAAGTAAAAATGAAAAAAATTCAACAAGGAAGAAACCAAAAGATAAACAGACTGAAGTGAGACCAGAAGTGGGCAATTTCTTTTAAAAATGTTGATTCAAGGGGTGCCTGGGTGGCTCAGTTTTTAAGCGTCTGCCTTCGGCTCAGGTCATGATTCCAAGTCCTGGGATTGAGCCCCGCATCAGGCTCCCTGCTCGGCGGGAGGCCTGCTTCTCCCTCTCCCACTCCCACTGCTTGTATTCCCTCTCTCGCTGTGTCTCTCTCTGTCAAATAAATAAATAAAATCTTTAAAAAAAAAAAGAATGTTGATTCAAAATCTTAAGATATTATCAAATCTTATCTCACATGTATTTAGAAATAATATTTATAACTTATGACTAAGTAGGGTTTATTTTAGGGATGCAAGGATATTCCAATATAAGAAAATCTAATAATGCAAAACTCCATATTAAGAGATTAAAGATAAAAAGCTACATATTCATTTAAATAGAGGCATAATAAAGCTCTTGAGAATATTCAACACATGATTAAAATCGTTTAGCAAAATAGGAATTGAAGGAAACATCCTTAACCTGACAGAGTACCCATCAAAAACGTATATGACTACCCAAAGGAATCTACAGATTCAGTGCAATCCCTATCAAAATCCCAATGATTTTTTTTGCAGAAATAGAAAAAAATCCATTCTAAAATTCATATGAAGTAGCAAGGTACCTCAAATAGCAAAAACAATCTTGAAAAAGAACAGGGGTGCCTGGGTGGCTCAGTCAGTTAAGCATCTGCCTTCAGCTCAGGTCATGATCTCAGGGTCCTGGGATCAAGCCCCAGGTCTGGCTCCCTGCTCAGTGGGGAGTCTACTTCGCCCTCTCCCTCTGACCTTCCTCTTTGCTTGTGCTCTCTCTCTCAAATAAATACACAAAATCTTTAAAAAGAAAAAGAACAAAGAACAATCCCCTTCACTTTCCTTAATGTTACATGTGGCCTTTCACCTCCAAGCATTTGTACTGAAGTTCTAGAACACTACTCCAGCCTCTTCTTCACCCATTCCTACCCTTTCAGAGTCATCTTCCATAATGTCTTGGAAAAGTTCTGACCCCTGGATCTAGGTTGGATACCCTTCTTATGTACCTCTTTCCATTGCCCAGTGTTTCCCACCTTTGTAGCAGTTAACATATTCTATTAAAATACTCTATTTAGTTTTCTGTGTCCTCCCCTATCCTGTAAGCTTCCTGAGAACAAGGACTGTGTTCATCAGGTTCACCATTTCTTTCTCCAGCATCAATCAGGCAAAGTGCCAGGTATATAATTGTCACCTAATTAAGTGATAATTCAATTTTTTAAAATACAGATGTTGAAGTTAAAGTCTAAGGCACCAAGCACAGAAATGCAAAATATATGACCTTAGAAGATAATGTAGCTAATGTTCTAAAGCTGATCTTACTGCCTTTGAATATAAAATAAGAAGTTGGAGATGTTTGGAGCAAGGGCATCAGTAGCCTTGATGAATGCCTTGAGTGTAATAGTGAAAGTAGTGAAAGTAGTAATACTTTCCTAGCAACTACTATCAAGGTCACATTTGTATACACATTCTTATTAATTCTGAGAAAAAGACTCCTGACTTGAAAGAGCTACTTCTAAGGTATCTTAAAACTAAGATTCTTCAAAGCAACTTGAAAGTCACAAAGCTAACAAGCAAGAAGTAACTTGGGTTTGCCTTAGAGGGTGCAGAAATTACTTAGGCCTCTGAGCGTCGCTGCTGACCACCTTAGAAGTAAAAGCCTGCAAGACAATCAGTCCAACATTCGGGCTCCCACAACAAAAAGGGCTGGGCGTTTGGCCCCCAAGCTTCCGGACGGGAAAAAAAAAAAAAAATCAGTCCAGCAGCTTAAAGTTCTCTCTACAGTGACCTGGGTCCTGTGAATGCTGGTCCCCTCAGACCCTGAGAAATAAAGACTGGAATCTCGCACTGGATGCTGGAAGTTGCCTGGGAGAGAAGATTGCAGCAGAAGAAATGGCGGCTCTGCAAAAGTTGCCACAACGCAGAAGGCTTATCCGGCTCTGCTTTCTTTTGGTCGTCTTGTGGGAGGTCGGAGCTGGGCAGATGCACTATTCTGTGCCAGAAGAGATTGACAAAGGCTCCTTCGTGGGTGACATTGCCAAGGACCTGGGGCTGGAGCCCCCGGCACTGGCAGAGCATGGAGTCCGCATCATCTCCAGAGGTAGGACGCAGCTTTTTGCTCTGAATCTGAGAAGTGGCAGTTTGGTCACCGCGGGCAGGATAGACCGGGAGGAGCTCTGTGCTCAGAGCGCGCGGTGTCTGGTGAATTTTAACATACTCCTGGAAGACAAATTGAACATTTATTCAGTAGAGGTGGAAATAACAGATATTAACGATAATGCCCCTCGCTTTGGAGTAGAGGAACTAGAGCTAAAAATAAGTGAAATGACTACGCCAGGATTCCGAATTCCCCTAAAGAGTGCTCATGATGTGGATGTCGGAGAAAACACCCTTCAGAAGTACGAACTGAACCCAAATGACCACTTCTCCCTGGATGTGCGAAGTGGAGTGGATGGGAACAAGCACCCTGAGCTGGTGTTGGAGCTCACCCTGGACCGCGAGGAAAAAGCCGTTCACTACCTCCTCCTTGTGGCTTTGGATGGGGGCAGTCCGGTCCGATCTGGCACCTCCCGCATCTGTGTGACCGTCCTGGATGTGAATGACAATGCCCCTATATTTACACAGCCCAAGTACCATGTAAGTGTTCCTGAGAATACGCCCGTAGGCACCCGGATACTCACAGTGACCGCCACTGACACAGATGAGGGATACAATGCCCAAGTGGCATATTTTCAAGAGAAAACCCTGGGAGAAACTCCAGAGGTATTTGAGCTTGAGTCGACATCTGGAGATATAACAATCGCAAAGAGTCTAGATTTTGAGGATGCCAAAGTCCATGAAATTGATATTGAAGCTCAGGATGGTCCGGGCCTTCTGACCAGGACAAAGGTTATTGTGACAGTTCTGGATGTGAATGACAATGCCCCAGAATTTTACATGACATCTGCTACTAGCTCAGTTCCTGAAGACTCTCCCTCAGGAACCATAATTGCACTTTTCAATGTACATGACAGAGACTCTGAGCAGAACGCATTTATCACATGTTCACTCCCTGAGAACCTTCCTTTCAAGTTAGAAAGATCAGTGGACAATTACCACCGACTGGTTACAACCAGAGCCCTTGACAGGGAACAGTTTTCCTTTTATAACATCACTGTGACTGCTAAAGATGGAGGGAAACCATCTCTATCCACGGATGCTTACATTTTATTGCAGGTGGCAGACATCAATGACAACCCACCCACCTTCCCCCACATGTCCTACTCTGCCTACATTCCTGAAAACAACCCCAGAGGTGCCTCCATCATTTCTGTGGCGGCCCATGACCCTGACAGTGACGATAATGCCCATGTAACTTACTCTTTGACTGAAGACACTCTTCAGGGTGCACCCCTGTCCTCTTATATCTCCATCAACTCTGACACTGGCATCGTGTATGCATTGCGCTCCTTTGACTATGAGCAGTTCCAGGATTTGCAGCTGTGGTTGACTGCGTGGGACAATGGGAACCCGCCCCTCAGCAGCAACGTGTCATTGAGCATATTCGTGCTGGACCAGAATGACAACGCTCCCGAAATCCTGTACCCCGCCCTCCCCACCGATGGTTCCACTGGCGTGGAGCTGGCACCCCGCTCCGCAGAGCCCGGCTACCTGGTCAC